GCTGACCAATGCACCACCAAGCAAACTAGGGTATCCTATGCTAGAATTTTGATAGAGGTCAATGTTACTAAGAAGCTACCTACTGAAATTACTGTTAATGACCCTTATGATAGATAGTTTCAGCAGCCCATAGAATTTGAAGGGAGACAAGATTTTTGCTCAGAATGCCTAAAGATTGGCCATGATTGTATAAAGCAAAAACAAGCAGGAAAGCCAGTGCAAGCTCAAAGGAACAAAAGGCCTAGGCTAGTCCCAAGATGGATACCTAAGAACAAACATTAGCAGGCAGGGAAACAAATACAATTGAGACGGCAACAACACAAGGAAGACACAGATATCCTAGCCAAAGGGAAAAGTGTTGTGCACACAATACAGGAGAATGCTGATGTGGTTAGATAAGGGTCAAACCAAAAGGTACAAGTTCAGGGTTAAAAATAGCAGAGGCAAAGACTAGTCTAGACCCTGAGGTTATACCAACAAGAAATGGGTTTCAAGCTTTACCTGAGGTGTATCAGAGAATTGTGAATGCCAAACCCCCTGATGTAGAGGGGTAGCAGTAGGCTATCACAATAACATGGCTATTCTGGAATGTTAGGGGGATAAATAAGAGGTATAAGCAGAAGGAAAAGCAATACCTCAAAGACAATCATATAAAATTAGTTGCTCTTTTAGAAACTAGAGTTAAACAAAATAAGACATTACATATAGCTGGTAGAGGTACTCCTAAATGGAAATACTATCAAACTATAAAGATGCAAGAAATGACAGAATATGGGTAACATAGGATCCTAAAATGTATGACATTCAACTTGTATAAGTAGCTGCTCAATTTATGCACTATCAGGTCATTGGCATGTAGAATGGAGTTAAGTGTTTACTCACAGTTATCTATGGTTTTAACACAGTTAAACAGAGGGAAGCTTTGTGGGATGGCTTACAAAGACTGGCTCCTAGAAGGAATGAACCTTGGATATTGTGTGGGGATTTTAATGCAGTTCTACACCCACATGATAAATAAGGTTCACCAATAACCTTACCAGAACTACAAGATTTCTCCAATTGCTATAAAAATCTACTGCTAAATGAAATTACACGGAGAGGTAATTACTATACATGGACCAACAAGCAACAAGGAGCAGACAGAGTTTGTAGTAGAATTGATAGAGCAATAGCAAATGATGAATGGATGGTGCAATATGGACATCTAACAGTAGAATTTAGGGAACCCTTTATTTCAGACCATGTGCCCATAATGATACCATTCAGATTGTAATGACACGACCGGTCTTTTTGAGTATTTGCACTTTGCTCGCCAGTTTTCGGGCATGACTAGCCCCGTATGATGTATTATGACTTATGTAGATCCTCGGTTTTGGTTTTTAGGATAATCGGAACAGATTTGGAAGAACAATTCTCAGCTTGAAGCTTTAAATTTGAAAGGTTTGACCAAGTTTTGACTTTTTAGTATTCGATCTCGGATTTAGATTTTTATTATTTGGTTAGCCCCGTTAGGTGGTTTCGGTCTTGGGAGCGTGTTCGGAATGTATTTTGGAGGTCCGTGGTAGATTTAGGCTTGAATTGGCAAAATTGGGAATTTGGTATTTTCCGGTCGGCATTGGAAATCTTGATATCGGGGAAGAATTGGAATTCTGGGAATTTGAGTAGGTCTGTTGTATCATTGGTGGCGTGTGCGCAAAATTTCAGGTAATTCGGATGAGGTTTGATAGGTTTTTACATCGTTTGTGGAATTCAAAAGTTTTGGAATCCTCAGGCTTGAATCCGAGGATGATTTGGTGTTTTAATATTGTTTTGAGTGTTTTGAAGGTTGGGACAAGTTTGAATAGTGGTATATGACTTGTTGTCATGTTTGGTTGAGGTCCCGAGGGCCTCAGGATGGATTTGGGTGGTTGACGGAAGGTTTGGTCTTGAATTCTTGCTGCCGATTCTTTTTGCCGTTATTATTATTATTGTTGTTGTTGTTGTTGTTGTTGTTGTTGTTGTTGTTGTTGTTGTTGTTGTTGTTGTTGTTTCTGCACCTGCGGATTGGGGACCACAGGTGCGATGATTGCAGAAGCAGGATGCAACCGCAGATGCGGAGATTGTCACAAGAGCGGAGGAGTTAAACGCACCTGCAAGCCCGCAAGTGTGAGGCTTGGGGCGCAGGTGCGGAAGCTGGAGCCTTTAGTGAAAATCGCAGGTGCGGTTATTTTGTCTGCAAAAGCGTGAAAGGGAGCCGCAGGTGCGAGATGCCTGGGCAGAAAGTATAAAAGGCCATCTTTGCAATTTTCAGCTTATTTCTCACCATTTTTGGACGGCTTTGAAGCTTTTGAGGGCAAATTTGAGAAGGGATTCAAGGGTTAACAACAAGGTGAGTAGCTTGAGTCATAAAACTTATATGTGTGATGATTTCTCATTGTTTAATCATGGAATTTGTGGAAAAATTTGGGATAAAAATTGGAGAATTAGGGCTTGAAATTTGAGAATGTAAATTGGGGATTTGAGGGGTCATTTGAGGTCCGATTTTGATGGTTTTGGTATGAATAGACTCGAGAGTGAAAGAAGTTTCTAGTTTTATGATTTTTTGTTGGATTCCGAGAAGTGGGCCGGGGGGTCGGGTTTGGCCAATTCAGGATTTTTTGGTTAATTTGATAATTTTCGCATGGGCTTTGATCCTTTAGCGTGTAATAATGATGTGATACTAATTTTGGTTAGATTCGGAGCATTTGGAAGCCGAGTCGAGAGGCAAGGGCATTGCGGGCTAGAGTTTTGACCGGTTTGAGGTAAGTAATGATTCTAAATATTGTCATGAGGGTATGAAACTCCGAATTTCACATCGTTTCACTACTTTGAGGTGACGCACATGCTAGATAACGAGCGTGGGGGCGTGCACCGTTGGGGATTGTGACTTGGTCCGTCCCGTATGACTATTAAGTCACGTATTTGATTGAAAACTATTTGATACAATTGCGTTTTGGAAAGTATTACTATGTTTTGGGCTGGATGCCATATTTTGGCCTCGTGCCAACTATTTGGACCCTTATGGGCTTTCTTTACTAATATTCCTCATTGTTTTAATTTAATATTTGTACTCAGTCATGCTATACTTTTACTGATTTCATAACTCAATCTTATTTACTCCGTTTGTTATATAAAATGATATTTTGGGTTGAGCACCTTTTTCACTATTAGCCCGAGTGGCTTGAGAGGTTTCTATTTGAGTAACACCGAGGGCCAGTATTGTAAGGATATTATGGGATCGGGCTGCACGCCGCAGCAAGTTGTTACTGATTCATGATATTGTGAGGAGGAGGGCCTAATTGATTTATGCCATAAGGTGGCTTGTTGTTATGAGGCCAAGGGCCTGACTGATTTACGCCACGAGATGACTTGTTATAGTGCTTGGACCGTAAGAGCCCCTCTGGAGTTTAAACACCCCCAGTGAGCGCGGGTACCCAGAGTGAGTGATATGTTGTTGCCCGATAGGCTGATCTTGATATATGTTGTGCCCGAGGGCTGATACGAGTGATTGTGAGGTAGCTCGAAGGGCTGGTTCTGATTGATGTTATGACCGAGGGGCGATTTATGATACATATCTTGCCCGAGGGGCTACTTATGATTTTCTACAGTCTTACTCTAAACTTCATTGAATCTTTGTTGAAACGGTTAAAAAGACATTTTTCAAAGGATTTTTACTGAAATCGAATTTTAACGAGATGATTTGATTTATATACTATTTTAAAAACATATTGTACTTACTGTGGCGTTATGACGTGGATTATGTGTTTTCTTACTGCTAAGTCTTTATTTACTTTTATTACTTACTGAGTTGGCATACTTACATTATTCCCTACACATTGTGTGCAGATCCAGGAGTTGCGGGTTGTGATAGCGAGCGCTGATTTTCACACAGCGGGTCATTTGGAGTCGACAAGGTAACTGCATGGCGTTCGCAGACTTGCTCTTCTCCCTCTTATCTTTCCTAGATTATATTAGTATTATTCCTAGACTTTGATAGACTTTATTGTATTTAGACAGTTCCTAGCAGATGCTCGTGACTTGTGACACCCCGAGGTTGGGCTTGTGTTGTTTTTCTGCACTTGTTATTAGACTCATGTTATGGAATTTTTATCAATTAATAGCTTAAAAATGTCTTTTATGAATACTGGTTTGATTTGGGAATTATGTCGGCTGACCTAGTTTTATGATAGGCGCCATCACGACTGGGTCGGTTTTAGGGTCGTGACACAGATCTCCTAAAAGTAACATTAGAGTACCCTTCAGATTCTTTAATATTTAGACTGAACACAAAATGGTCAAATAGATAATAGCTGAAGGATGGAAAAGAAGAGAAACAAGAGGGGAAATGAGAAGTGTCTGGCTCAAACTGAAGCACCTAAAACATGCTTTCAAGTAGCTCAATGTTGAAGAGTTCAAAGGAATCACTGAAAGGATTGTCAAGTCCAGGTCCACATTGAAGGAGATAAAAAGAGAAATGCAAATCAGATATTCAGATTCTCTGGCTGATCAAAAGAAACAATGTATGGAACAGCTGGAAAAGTGGTCTCTGATTGAAGAAAGTGTGATGCAATAGAAATTCAGAGCTATATGGATTAAATTAGGAGACTCAAATACAAAATATTTCACAATTGTAATGAAAGAAAAACAACAACAGAAGCGAATTTTGGAGGTCATCTCCTTGTCGGGTATGAAGTTGCATGATCTTAAAGCTATTACAGAAGAGTTTGCAGCATTCTATAAATCCCTGATGGGATTAGCTGCAACCTCTCTACCATGAGTTAACATGATGGTTATGAGAAATGTGCCTTGACTATCTCATTGTCAACAACTAAAACTATGTGCCACTGTTACAAATGCAGAAATCTATGAAGCATTATGTTCAATAGTGATCACAAGGCTCCAGGAATTGATAGATTTAATGCTTCCCCATCATAAAAAATGAGGTATGTGATGTTGTTAAAGAGTTCTTTATAACCGGGGTCATGTACAAAGCTATTAACTACACCACACTAACCCTGCTACCAAAGATTGCAAACCCCAATACTGTAAAGGACTATAGCCCTATAAATTGTTTCACCATATTGTACAAGCTGGCTGTAAAGGTTCTTGCTGGGAGATTACAAAAGATCATGAACTATATTATCTCAGAGGCACAAGAAAGTTTCTTCCATGGGAGAAGGATTGCTGGTAACATAATCCTAGCACATGAACTAGTATCATATAGCAGCAAACACTTATCCCCCGATGTATGATCAAAGTTGACTTACAAAAGGCATATGAATCTGTGGAATGGGTGTATCTGGAACAGGTTCTAGAAGGATTGTCTTTCCCAGACAAGTTTATCAAATGGTTAATGACTTATGTAAGAACACTTAATCATACCATCTTGCTTAATGGGGAATCTGTGGAGCCATTTAATGATGCTAAAGGCCTAAGACAAGGAGATCCAATCTCTCCTTTCCTGTTTGCTATTGCCATGAAATTACTGAGCAGACTTCTCAATTAATTGCAACATGATAATAAATTCAAATATCATCCCAGAATTGGCTTTCCTAGACAAGTTTATCAAATGGTTAATGACTTGTGTAAGAACAGTTAATTATACCATCCTACTTAACGGGGAATCTGTGGAGCCATTTAATGATGCTAAAGGCTTAAGACAAGGATATTCAATCTCTCCTTTCCTATTTGCTATTTCCATGGAATTACTGAGCGACTTCTAAATGAGTTGCAAGCTACACATCACTTATTTGAGTTATGCTAATGACCTGCTTCTTTTTGCCAGAGGTGACACATCTCCAGTACAAAAACTTCATGAGTGCTTCACAATATTCTCAACAGCTTCTGGACTACAAGAAAACTTAGCTAAGAGTTCCATATACTGTGGGGGAATAGAGAGCAAGTTTAGAGAAGCAATCTACCAGACTTTGGATACTCTTAAGGACAACTGTCCTTTAAGTATCTAGGAGTGTCATTGGATACAAAGAAGCTGACTAAGATACAGTGGCAACTTCTCATCACAAAAATAGTGGCAAATATAACTTCATGGACTGCAAAAAAATTATCTTATGCTGGCAGGGTACAACTAATACAAACTGTGCTTTTTGGAATCCAATCCTACTGGGCTCAAATCTTTCCCATACTAGTCAAAGTGATTAAAATGATTGAAGCATACTTTAGAAGCTCCATGTGGTCAGATGAAAATGAAATCACAAAGAGAGCCCTCATTGCCTGGGATAAAGTCTGTCTACCCAAGACAATTGGTGGGCTCAACTTAAGCAATCTAAAAATATGGAGCACTGCTGCTATTGCTAAAACATTCTGGGACCTATCTCACAAGCAAGACAAACTGTGGATTAAATGGATTCATGCTGTTTACATCAAAGGACAGTGTACAAATATCATGCCTATCCCAAAAAATTCTAGCTGGATGGTGAGGAAGATATTGGAAGCAAGGGAAGTTATAAGTCAACTACACAAGCCTTTAGATGATAAGAAAAGTATCATCAAACAGATCTATCTTCAACTTATACCAACCTTACCTAAAACTAGCTGGAGAAGACTAATGTGCCAAAATGCTGCGAGACCTAAAGCCATACTTACAATGTGGATGCAATGCCAAGGGAGGTTACTTAATGTGGATAGACTTAAGAAATGGGGAATCACTGTAAATGATACCTATGTGCTTTGTCAATCAAGTTTGGAGATATGAAACCACTTATTTGCTGAATGTGGTTGTGCTAAAAGTTTATGGAGTAGACTGATACAATGGGCACAGCTACAGAATAATAGAAGTTCTACATGAGAGCAACATCTATAGTTCATTTGTCATCATGCCAAAGGGAAGACAACAACATCAAAATTCCTCAAGATGATATATGCTGAATATACGCATGCCTTGTGGAAGGAAAGAAACGACCGAATATTTCAAGAGACATCTAGAGATCACACTATCTGGGCAAGGGAGATAGCCTGCATATGCAACTTTAGAGCTACTGCACATTAAAGAATTTAGTACAACAATTATGTTTTTAGATATAGTCTACCGATAGAAATATGGTTTAGTGATTTGTGATAGTATAGTCTTTCCCTGTAATTTCCATGAGAATTAGCTAGCTGGGAGTAGCTAAGTTATGCTTTGTAACGTTTTCGTTTGAGGATTAATGATAAGTTTAATTACAAAAAAAGGTCATGATTTAGACTCAATGTTTATAATGGACGTAGTTTATTGTACGAAATTTACCTTTTATATCAAACTAATACATGCTATTTATTATAAAATAAACAATTTCAAAATGTTATTACTAATAGCTACCTTTTCTATTTAATAGCAAAATATGTATTTATTTATACCTATCATTGAGGCATGAAATACGCCAATATTGTTCTCTCTCTCTCTCAGCAAGATTCTCAATCCTTTCTCTTCTTCATCAAATCAGCAGCGTCATCATCGTGGTCGTCGTCAAAATCATTGTCGGCGTCATCATCTACTATTGGCTCATCCTCTTATGCGAATAGATCTGGCTATGGCTATGCCAGAGAAGATTTGAGGTCTGGATTTTTGTTCGTCTCAATTTTTTAATTTTAATATAATGTATATAGTATTTTGCTTGGCCGAAAAATGCCATATTCGGCGAACTTTCTTCTCTTCTTTGCTATTTTAGTCACATATAATAATATAAATACATTGTATTTTATATAAATACATTATTTGTTTGCCTGTATTTCTGTATTTTGAAGGTCAATATTTTTTTAATACAGTTGAATATCATTGTGTTTCTTGATTTTTTGTTGTTTGAATACGGTAGAATTGAATAAGGTGAATTGAATACATTGCATAACGATGAATAATGAATATATGTGAATTGAATACAATGTATACAGCCGAATTGAATAGAACGATATACACCCGATTTCTTGACTACCTCACTGTATTTATAAATATAGTCGTGCGAATACATGGAATACAACATAGTAGCAAGAAACTTTATGTTGAATTAATTTTGTTTGAGTTAAATTAGGAGTGATACACGCTAATTGATCCTCTTTCCATTATTAAATAGTGGACTCTCCTATTTTTAGGCGAATTCCGCTACTGTATTCATGAATACAGTAGCGCGAAGACAGTCGCACATCTAGACTCTCCTATTTTTTAGGAAAATTCCGCTACTGTATTCATGAATACAATAGAGCGAATGCAACGAATATAGTCGCGTAGCAACGAAATTTATATAGAATTGATTTTGTTGAGTTAAAATGGGAGTGATTTTAACGACCCGATCGATCGTTTTGAACATTTGCACTTTCCTTGGTATTTTAGGGCACGAGTAGCTCTGTATGATGTATTAGACTTGTGTAAAAAATTTGAGTTCATTCCGGGTTGATTTGATTTGTTTCGGCATGAATTTTTGGAAGTAGAAAATCCGAAAGTTCATTAAGTATGATTTGATGTGCGTTTCGTCGTTTTGATATTGTTATGTTTGTTTTGAGGCCTCAAGTAGGTCCGAATTATGATATGAAACTTGTTGGTATATTTCGATGGGGTCTCAAGTGAGTTTCAGATATGTTTGGGTTGTGATGCGCTCGTTTTTCATATGTTTCGACATTGTTTCTTCAAGCATAAATGGTACCACATTGAATGAATGAGCTCCGATTCCTATTTTTATTGAAAAATTAGATTCGTATCGTAATTATGGAGCCATATCAAAAAGAATCGTCAAATTTGGACATCGTATGAGGATTTTATGGTCATTTACTAAGAATTGGATTGCTAGATTTTTCAGATTAATTACGAAATTGCCACTGACTACGTATTTAAAAATCTACACTATTTTCAAATATTGAAACCAATATATCTCCTTCAATATAATGTCAAATAGAGTGATTCAAGAGCCTAACTTGACTAAAATTTCACAAGGAGTCCATTGGAGGTATCAGAAGTGAGTTTCGAGATCTTTCGGCATAAGAAACGAGGCAGAATAGTGTTAAAATAAGGGTTTTGTGCATCTAACATATTTTGAGTTGGGGAGCTCAGAATTGGGCAATTTCGAAGCGATTTTCAGCATATGAATTGGGGTAAGTGTTCTCTACTCGATTTTGGTTATATTTCGTGAATCTATCTTCGATTTTAACTTTTTATTGATGAATTTTAAAGAAGAAATTGGGGGTTTGGCTTAAAGTTTTATAATATAAATATTTAACTTTTGAACAGTGATTCAAAGTCGGATTTGAGTGAAACTAGTATGGTTGAACTAGTAATTGAATAGGTTGACGGATTTTGTGCGTTTTGTCGGGTTCCGAGGTGCGGGTCCGGTGTTGATACCCAATTTTTCCCTGTATATTTTTAATACGTATATATACTTTCAAAATTGTATACATGCATGTATAAGCATGCATAAGCATTTTTATAATTTATTCTATAATTTTAAAGGCTTCAAATTGATTTATTTCTTCCCTTTTTACTTATAAAATTTCCGATAATTATCCTTCAAATAACGTTTGTGGTGATTTAGTCATCTAGATTCTATATTAATGCAAAAATATTGTTGAAATATTTTTAGTGCATTTTTTATAATTGCATTTACATTTTTTAAGGTAATTTGCATATATTTGCAATACTAGTACATACAATACTAGTTTTATAGTGCATTATTAATACATAAAATGGTATTTTATACTTTTAAAATGTTAAACAACTATTTTTAATCAGTTTAGTACATGAAATATTTTTTTGGAAATCATTTTATTATTTTTTTTATAAATTATATAGTACTGAAAATGGCTATTTAAAATCTAACTTAATTTCATTTCAATTCCAGCCCAATTCCAACCCATCCCCAATCCTAATTCAGCCAAAATCGGACCCCAAAATTACCCAGCCCAACTTAGGAACACCTACCCAACCCAATACCCGGCCAAATCCTATCTGTTAATCATTTTGATCAACGACCCAGGTTTTCCCTTTCCTAATTAAACTAACCTATACCCCCCCAAACCTTATTCATTTCATAACCAACCCCGCCGCCCTTAAATCCTCTTTGCTCTCAAACACTCTCTACCTAAACCCTAATCTCCAAATGCCGACCCCCATCTATGGCCATCTCCTGTGACCTCTCACCATCTCTCAAGCCTCCAATGGCTTCTCTCGTGTCATTATTGCCATCTCTAATGCCCTCAAGTGACCAGGTCCATGTCGACTGGCATCTAGGGTTCATCTCTCACCTGTTCCTGGCCATTCCAGTGTGATTTTGAGTAAAATTGTTCTATATAAGCTACGATCTAAGGGTTTTTCAATATGTTTCTTCACCTCTGTATGGTTCTCTTCGAAATCCTAATTTCTTTTCCAAACCTCCTAGATCTAGACAGATCTAAGATGATTTGAGTTTTTTTCTTGTGTGTTTTACAATAGCCTTGAGATTCTTTACAAGAATCATATGATTTCAAGTGATTTTTCATCTTTTTCTAAAGTTAGGGTTTCCGGAATTTCTTAAACTCTATTTAATGATTTTTTGTGTTTAAACTTCTGTTTCTCACATATTTTGACTGATTCTATGAGTCTACTACAACCTTAACTCGCCTGTGCTGAAAGCCCCAATTTTTAGGGTTCTTCATTTGGTTTCTGAGTATTAGTATATCTGACTGGTTCTTGCTTTGAGTTCTTATAATTCCTCATAACTTTCTTGCCTTAATATGCTTCTACTTATTTTCTTAGTATGAGCTTTCACTTAGTCTATGTGCTTGTGTTCATCTTGGCTATTCACATCAAGACTTGTATCTTTCTCATTGAATCAGTATTATTTAACTTTTGTTTTGTTAAAGTTATATGTCGATTCCTGACTATCCATGTTTTACCTTATTTATATGCTAAACATGCTGACTCTTTTCATGACTTTCTCATTGATTGAACCATTGAATATTCTGAATTCCTTATTTCTTGGGTTGATTTGAACACTTTCCCTTAAACTTT